ACCACCATATCATTCTCTGAAGGTAAGGTTAGGTACCAAAGAACCAACTGAGAAAAGATTAGGAAGTAGTAAAAACATTCTAATAGAGGTTTGCTTTGATTTTTATTTCGTGTTTGCATAAGCTTACCTCCTATATACTAAGGTGTGGAAATTGATGGTTTAAATCTGTGGCGGCTTGAAAAAAAATTCTCAAGAGAATGGAGGGCAAAGTTGAAGGTGTGATAAAGACACGTAGCTACCACCTGGTGGCAGCATATCTAAGCTAAAGACAGTGAGCAGTGTGTGTGTGTGTGTGTGTGTGTGTGTGAGAGAGAGAGAGAGAGAGAGAGAGGAAGGGAGGGTGTGTGTGTGTGTGTGAGAGAGAGAGAGAGAGAGAGAGGAAGGGAGGGGGAATGAGAGAGACCCACACAAATTCAAAGGAGAAAGACAGCAACAGTGCTCCCAGCCACCCTTCATCTAACCCTGGAGAGTGGAAACTTCCTTTAGTGCCTAAGGCATGTGACTGCTAACCAGAAGGCTGGGGTTCAAACCCACCAGCCACTCCTCGGGAGGAAGACTGGGCAATCTACTTCCGTAGAGATACTGCCTCAGAAACCCAAGGAGGGGTCACTATGAGTTGGGATCAACTCGATGGCAGAGTTTGGTTTTTTGTTTCTACTTAAGGGTTGTTTTGAATTCTTTCCAGAGAAGGGGACCTCATTACCAGCCCCTTTTCCCCAAACTTGAGTCAAAAAGAGGCAGATTTGTCCCAGCACAGTTAGGTGACCTGCAAGGGGTTGGAGGGAGGGGGGCGAGGGGGAGGGGGTACTCAATAATGTTTGTCCTAGGAACAAGTGAATGAGTGAGCAAGTAAGGAACACAGTCTAACTTCCTTAATATGTTTATTTCCAACCTTTAGTGTTGAATGGTAAGGAAGGTGGAACATTGATAAACACAGCTATTTAACATTTACAAATAGCTCCTGTGTATGTATCCATCCCAGGGCTAGCAAATGCAGATCTTAAAAGAAGGTGGGCCAGGAGAACCCTGTGCCCCTTGGGGTGACAGACAGATGCCTGGACTGGGAATCTGAAGACTCAGGTTCCTGACCCAGTTTGCCCTTGATGGGACTTAAGGAAGTTACTAGATCTCAGAGCCTTAGTTTTTGCCCCTGGAAAATGCTGATAATTCTACCCACTAAGTCTAAGGCTGGTCAGAGGAGATAACAGAGACAAAAGCAGTATTAAAAGGGCTGTAAAATGTTCCGGTTTATTTAGGATGCTGGGTTAAAAAAACAACACCTAGTTGCCATCAAGTTGACCAACTCATGGAAACTCCATGTGTATTAAAGAAAAGCTGTATTCCATAGGGCTTTCAAAGGCTGCAAGTGGATGGCCAGGCCTTTCTTCCAAGTGGCCTTTCTTCCAATCTCTAGGTGGATTCGAACCTCCAACCTTTCAGTCAGCAGCCAAGCATATTAATCTCAGCTACAAATTAACCATTCAGGGAGCTGCCAATAAGCACCTTAGATTTACCAGTTTGTCCTCTGTCCCACTTCTTTATGGATTACACTTCCTTCTCACCTAGAATCACTGATTGTAAAATAAATGAATGATTCCTCCCCAGGGATAAGCAGCTCCTTCTTCTGGGCCAGTAGGCAAGTGGTCATTCTCAAGGTTAAGCCCAACAACCACAGAGACAGAAACACAGCCAAACCATGTCTGGAGTAAGAAAATATATATGTTTATATGATCTGGCAAATGAAAAATGTAGTGGATTTCTTTTCTCCATCAAAAGCAACTGAAGTCTACAGGCTGCCTCTTGATGACCTCCTTCTAGCTCCATGGCAACCAGAATCCTATGGCCCTGTTTGACTTTACAAGCTGCCAACTAGTCACAAACAAGCTAGCTCCATACACGTTGCTGTCTTGGGCAGTGTTGGTGAACCTCACTGTTCCTCTCTAAGAAGCATGACAGTGGAGGAGTCAGTGGGATTGGAGGCCTTTAGCATCCCTTGCAGCTTTCTACTGATGTGGTGGGAGGATGTCATGTGTTGGACCCCCAAGAGGACAGAGTGTTCAGGCTGTCTATCAATAGTAAACTGCCAGTAAAGTGGGGATTCTTTTCCTGCTCAATTGCCTATAACATGGATACAGGGCAGAAATGGTGGGGCACAGTCTCTAGATTCCTAAGTGGGTACCAGGCATTCTTCAAGTGTTCTTTTGTGAATAGGTCCTGGCTACACACAGAGAAATGGATAGGGCTATGTTTTGTATCCCTGATATCAAGGAGGGAAAAGTAGCTGAAAAATAGTAGATGCTCCAAAAATCCTTCTTAGGATAGATGGAGGTCCAAGGGCAGGGAACACCAGAGGCTGTTTTGGTATCTGAATTCTGGGGCTACAGAAAGGGGAAACATGACTGTAGCTGCTAAATGGTTTCTCTAAAAGAAATCAGGACTCAAATTAGTGGCATTAGACTAAACATCCTGGCATGATGTAAAGCACATGATCCTAGAGATGGACAGAGCTGGGTTCAAATGTGAGTTCTGTCACTTACTAGCTATGCAACTCTAGAACGCTGTCTAACCTCTCCATGCCTTGGTTTCCTCATTTGTAAAGTGCAGGTAATAAAACCATCCTTATAGGATTACTTTAGGGAAATGGTGGCACTACAGTTAAGTGCTAGGCTGCTACATGAAAGGTGGTTGGTTTGAACTTACCCAGCAGATCCATGGGAAAAATACCTGGTGATCTCTTCCCATAAAGATTACAGCCTAGAAAGCTCTGCAGGACAATTTCTACTCTGTCACATGGAATCGCTGTGAGTCAACAATCTACCTGATGGCACCTAACAACAAAGTAGACTGCCTAGTCAGACACCTTGGAAACCAAAGGGGGTCGCTGTGAGTCAGAATCGACTCAATGGCAGTGAGTTTCCAGAGTTTAACAACAAGATTGCTTTAAGGATTCAATGAGATAAAGGAAGTGGATGGTGGGAGTGACACCTTCTCTCCCACAGGCACACATCCCTGCTGGGTCATGGCTCAAACAGGAAGAGCATTTATACTGTCTTTCTTGATTTCACAAGACCCAGAAGGAAGAAGGGCCAAGTCTTAGGCAGTGTTGCAGAGCGTTTACATTTGACAGCAAATAATGGCAAAGTTAATAAGGTGCTTAGAGGGTCCACTGTTGCTCCCCTCCCCCCAAGTATATTTGTTCAAGCCCAGTATGTTCATTGAAATCCAACACTGTTGAGACCTGTGGTTCTCAAAGTGGGGGGTCAGCACTGCCCTCTAGGGGGTGTTTTGAAAATCTATGAAGATGTTTGGGTTGTCACAATGATGCAGGGACACTACTGGCATTTAGAGGGAGAAGGGGGAAGAATGCAAGACGTGCTCCAATGTGTGGGACAATCCTGTACTATCAAGTGTCTCATGCCCCATGACTTTCATATGTCCTACTGGACATACACGCTGCCATCAAGTCGACTCCGACTCATAGCGACCCTATAGGACAGAGTAGAACTGCCCTGTAGGGTTTCCAAGGCTGTAAATCTTTTACAGAAGCAGACTGCCTCATCTTTCTTCCATAGGGCAGCTGGTGGGTTCAAACTGCCAACCTTTTGGTTAGTAGCTGAATGTTTTAACTACTGTACAACCAGAGCTCCTTTGCTAGACGTACATATAGGTTTTTAAAAAACTATTTATGATATATACTTACACATGTATATTTATATACAGCTGTGTGTACAAATATTTTATATTTAATATCAGAAGATTCAAAGGAAGATATGGACAAATATGCCAACCAAAATATTACTAGTGCTATACTGATTTGGTAGATGGAGTCACAAGGAATTTATTTATCAACTCATTTCTACATTTCTACATGGCTTCAAGTTCTTGTAAGAATGTATTACTTTTGCAATTGGGGGAAAAAGGAAAAATTACAGATAACCAAAAATGGGCAAAACTTGTTCAGCATGTACAAGAAAAACCATACCCTAGAGATGTGACTTTGGAAACAATTTACTTATATTAATCCAATAAATTCAGATCACCAAAAACTAACAAACAAATCTTTTTTATAATTATCTGAGCCCAGAATCTAAATTGCTTCATAAATAAACATATTTCTGTATTGCTTTAATATATACTCAATTTTCCAGAATTCAGTAACTAGGAAAATGGAGATGAGAGTGTGAAGAGTGGTTCACTCTTTAGGTCCCTGATACAATTTGGGTCCCTGATACAATAGATGTGTGTCAGTTGCATTTGAGGCCAAGACATTGACAGCGGTTCTGATAAGTGTCTGCAACCATTTTTATTACGTCTTCATTTGCCAGCACATCTGGGCATTTCCTCTTCTTTCATTTCTTCTTTATATTTCAATTAGAGCAGCATATTTGACTGCTCAAAATTTTATATATAGGTAGGCTATAAAAACCTATTGCCATTGAGTCAATTCTGACTCATAGCAACCCTATAAGACAGAGTAGAACTAGCCCATAAGGTTTCCAAGGCTGTAAATCTTTGCAGAAGCGGGCTGCCTCATTTTTTCCTGCGGAGCAGCTGATGGGTTTGAACCACCAACCTTTTCATTAGCAGCCAAATGCCTTAACCACTGCACCACCAGAGTTAGGCTATAGTGTTCATGAATCTCATGGTACGGTCATAAAGGAGGTGTTACAAAATGTTTGTCACAAAAGGGAGACACTGGGGACAGGCAGGGTTAAGTGCCACAGATTTAGATTCTTAGATCACAAGGCAATGCCTTCATCAATACTGGTTCCCAGGCCCTTATTTAAGCTCTTACCCAGGCAGGGGCATTCACCACAGAGGAAGTTTGGAAAGGGATTCTGCTTTTCACAGCATGGACTACAGATCTATGTTTGAGTAAAACAGGATCTTCATCCCTCTGGGGTGGGGTGGGGGTAAGCAGGGACTTCCCCCCATAATACAGAATGAAGAAAGCTGCTTGTCAGCACAAAGATGGGAACAGGACTGGGCAGTCTACTTACAGAGATCTTCAGAGGCGGCTGGGGCGAAGGCGGCCATGGACTCGTAGAGCTCCTCATCACAGCCGGGGTTCAGAGAGCACTTCATGAGCAGGTCTGTGGAGATGTGGGCCATGGACTCGTACACGGCGTCGGCCTCCTCCCCTTGCATCAGCTCCTCCTTAATGTGACTCTTCAGCATGTCCACGGTTTCCTGAAGGAGAAGACAGGACCCACAGGCACTAAGACAGCCTGGTTTTCTGGGTAGAGTTAGGCCACTAAGTGGGCTTGTGGAGGGCAACAAAGGTTCAGGTGGGCCAGGACTGCAACTGTGTGTGTACAACAGTTTCCCTCCAGAGTGGAAGCTCCTTGAGGTCAGCTCCATGGGTTTTTTGTTTTATGTGTGTATGTGTTTTATTGTAATAACAATACATGTAACAAAACCTTTGCCATTTCAACATTTTTTTTTGCATGTACAATTCAGTGACATTAATTATGTTCATTATATTGTGCAGTCATTACTAAGCTTTTGTCAAAGGTGAGGAAAAATTTGGAAATGGGTAGTAGTGATGGTTGTTTTATGTTTTCAGTATTAATCTTTGTATGTTCCCATAACACTAAGCATGAGTTATACAGTCAAGAGACACCCATTAAAAGTCCAATGATTCGAGGTTGAAAATTAAAAACTTTCTCTTGAGCACATATTATGTACTTGGTGCCATGCTAGGTACTAGCCTCTCCATTATCTCATGCCAACCTTTCCACCACTGCTTGAGAAAGATGAGAAAATGAAAGCTAGAAAAATCCAAGTACCTTACTTAAGGACTTAAAATCCTAGCTTTCAACCTTTCTACTGCACTCTGGTGGTTTCTCAACAAGGAACAAATGACACAGGAGAATGTGATGCTTACTGACAAGTCACCCCAGAATTTAAATGGGCTAACACAGGGCTGCAGTTAGGTGTTCATGCACTTATGGGTTTACAGAGGTCCCCTGTAACTCAATACACTCATCTCCCATTCCTACCAGCAGATTTCTCCAAAGCTCCCATCCATCCCCCACTTGATTTCATGTCCTGCATGTGACCCAACAGGGCTTTGAGGGCCAGTTTTGGACGGCAGGCCCTGAAGGCCAAAAGGCTGGCTTCTGTCCTTCTTCCACCAAGTGCCTGTGAAGCCAGAGGGCTGGTTTCTCCGAAACAGCTGCCCAACTCTTCCTGGTGAGAAACCCTGGGGTTTCACAACCCTCATTTCAGCACGAACCCACAAAAATCCTCATTTTCATCATCACTACCCTTGAAGAGCTAATTTGCTAATGACACTCTATGTCAGTTTCCCAGGGAGATTCAAGGAGTGGACCAGGTGACGGCTATGAAGTGTTGCAGACTCAGAGGGGCCTGGCATTTGGTTTTGCTGTGGTGGAAAAGGAAACTAGAGGTGGTACGCAAAATGTAGGGACGGTCTCTTGGCAGCAATGCTAAAGATGCATTGGAAGGGACAATTGTCAAAGAGCAAAGATGCTACGAGTAATGTGAACCTGATAAACACCAATGCAAACTGAAAGCACATCTTAAACTTTCCTGCTATATACCAAAAACCAAACCCACTGCACTGAGTCAACTCTGGCTCACAGCAGCTGCCTTTTGGGTTTCCAAGGCTGTAAATCTTTACAGAAGCAGACTGCCTCATTTTCCTCCCACAGAGCAGCTGGTGGGTTTGAACCACCAACTTTCTGGTTAACAGTCAAATGCCTTACCCACTGTGCCACCAGAGCTCTTTCTCCTGCTACATACAGCAAGATAAACAAGCTCCAACTCTAGCATCAAACTAGGTTCAGATCCTATCTCCCCCCTTACTAGTGAGTGGTGTTAGGCACAATTGCTTTACCTTTCTAAGCCTTTTTCTTCACTTGTAAAATGGGGTCACAATAGTGTCAATTTACCAGGATTGTGGTGAGGAACAAATGAGATAATACATTTGCCAAGCCAAGAAATTCAACAATAGTCGTTACTAACTATGGATACAATGTATCCTTAATAAAAACTATTGGAATAGAAATGAAACACTGCATTTGATACACGTGTGACTCCAAATAAAGGAAAACTAAGCAGATACTACTGGCCTATAAGCACCATTTAGCCTCATTTATACCTGTGATGCCCCAAGCAGGGACTCATACTGTTCTATTCTCTCAAAACACTTATATACCCCAAACTTGGGAAGGTACCCAAGCGAAGGTACCTCAGTGAGCTACTGCCTATGAATTTTCAAATACAAAGCAGATAATTAAGTTTCTGGGGAGGTGTCAGGCTCACTTCTGTCTGGAGGTAGAGAGAGCAAGATTGGACGGTGTTAAATAGCCATGTATCAGAGGTTGAGCTGTTCTTACCTGCCTTCTGTGTGCCTGTGAAGGCAGAGAAATACATCAAGGGGTAGGGCCAGGAAGAGCAGCTGCCTCCAAGACAATGGAGGCAGTACTAGGACACAGGGCTCAGAAGAGGACTCAGAAGTCAGTGATCAAGGAGGAGCTGGGGTCCAAAGTCTGATAGCAAACTAAGTGCTAGGAATATCTGATGGTTAAGGTCAGACTCAGCAGAGGTCAGAAAGAGGCAGGCTGTTAGCAGGAGGCACAGCCTTATAACTGGCCTCCTTGATACCTCAGATGCTGAGTTTTATTGTAGCCTCTGCTAATGAGAAACCAATCCCAACTCAGCTCACCTGGGCCTAAAGGTGGCTGAGAAAGCTGGGAGAACCAAGCCAAGGTGCCTTCAAAGTGAATGGAGAAGGGTGATCAGCATCAGACTTCAGCAAATTCACTCTATACATGTCTCTATAAATTCTTTGAGGGTGGACTGCAGTCCTTTACATATATTATTATTCTTCATCCCAAGACAACCCTATGAGTAGAACTACTATTATCTTCCTTTGGCATATTAGGAAACTGACAGAGCAGATAAGTGCCTTTCCCAAAGTCATGTGACTAACAAGCGTTGGTGCAGAGATTTGAACTCAGGTCCATCTGACACCAGAGCTTCTCATCTCTCAAACCCACATACTGTTGACAGCCAGAAGAGGCACAAGAGGACATCTGGGAGATGAAATATGGCCATATATTTGGTGAAAAGGCAGCTCTAGGATCACAGAGTTTAATTCCAATTCTGGCACTACTCCCAACTTGACCTTACCACATACTCGTCGATGAATTGCCGCAGGTCCTTGAATCCATGCTTCTCAGCGATGGTGTTGGGGTAGTGGCCGTGCTTGTTGGCCACACTGTATGCCTGGAGGGCTCCTGGGCAGGTGAGTAACAAGGCAGTGAGATTCTTCAGTCCATACTTTGCAGCAAAATGCAACAAAGTGGGCAATTCCTCATCCCTCTGATCTGGAAAAAATGCCATGGAACACTAAATGGACAGATAAACTCTTGTTCATCCTTGATCAAGGAGACAATGCTATCAAGCCTAGCATGGCACCCATTAGACACTCAGTCATTGTTGGTTGGTTGATGAACCCATTTGACAGTTCCTTTAGTGGTACCACTGAAGATCATATCCTTGGATGACAGAGGAGATGATCTTTTAATTAATTAGCAAATCTAATCATTAATATCCTACTTTCTTTGTCCAAAAGGATAGGGGAATCCCAAGAAATAAAATTAATAGAAAATGTCCTGAGTTTCTAAACTTTTAAACAACAGCCACAATGTCTGACAAGAATCATATTTTGAACTTTCATTTTGTGCTTATTAAAGGACAGAAGTCCATCTCTTAGCTCATATCCCAATGTCATAAAGGTACACTAAATGATTCTGGGTATGTTACTTATTCTTTCCGTAGCCCTTAACTTTGAGCTAAAGAAATACTTACAGACTATCTCAAAGAATCCTGGGAGGATTAATAAGACAGTGTTCACTGAAATCCTTGCTTGTGAGAGGTTTTGAATGTTCATGGAAAACATTGGATCCCCATGGTCCCCTCAATAATAATATCTGGGAACTCTGGTGGTGTAGTGCCTAAGGTATTTGACCACTAACCAGAAGGCTGGAGGTTCAAACCCACCAGTCAACCCTTGGAAGGAAGATTGAGTAATCTACTTTCATAGAGATATTGTCTTGGAAACTCAAGGAGGGGTTGCTATGAGTCGAATCAATTTGACAACAGTGAGTTTGGTTTGGTTTTGGTTTATAGCAAGTTAAACTCAACCAAGAAAATGCACATGTCTGGGTTGTGGAGTTAGGGGAAAAAAACATCTTTTTTTTTTTTTCCCCCATAAAAGTTTACTTTGAAGCCCAACAATGACTTTTTTGAAAAATATGACATGCCAAGATTCTGATTCACGAGGATATGATCCTCAGGACAAAGGGTCTAAAAGCATCCCTGGGGCTTCATGACGTCAGGCTATGACATGCTCTCTCCTTAGCTCCAAGTTTAAGAGCATGTAACACCAAGCTTAACACCTGCTAGAAATGATGCGAGGGCATTCCACAGCAGCAAAATGGGGAACACAAAAGAGATGGCAGCCAGGAGAAGGGTTAGAAGGTGATGAAGCTGCATCTTTATGATTCTCTTGGGTTATGGAAGGACAGAACACAGGCAGGTCACCGAGACCTGGCAACCACCGGTGCAATACAACTACAGTGTGAAGGATTAGCATGTCCACAGAAGCTCCCTGACAGGAATCTTGTCCAGAGCACCAGGCCTCTCCTAGTTCCCAGCACATCACACGTGCACAAGTATCTTTCCTCATCAAACAAGTATCTGTTCAAAACCAACAATGAGCCAGACACCCAGACACAGTCCCAGCCCTCAACTGAGCTTATAGCCAACAAAAGCCGATGGAGAAAGCTGAAAAGTGCTAGGACAGGTGATACCCAAGGCGCTGGAGAGGGGGTTCCCACAGCAGGTGGAAAACACATACTAAAAGGTCCAAGAAAGGCTTCCTGAGAAAGCACTGCTTAAGCTGCTACAGGGAGGTGAAGAGAAGTTAGTCAGGTGAAAGGTGGCCAGAGAGGGGAAGAAGATACTGCATTCCCATGAGTCAAGGAGGCAAGAGACAGGCATCATTTTCATTAGGTCATAGCTTCCACAGAAAAGAGCATAGAAGCCAAGAGAGGGTGTAGGGACAGATGAGGAGAGAAATGCACAGGGCCCCCTTGGGAAAGGCTTATAAATAGGTTAAGGATTTGGACTTTGTCTAGAAAGCAAGTGGGAACCACAGAGGGTTTTAAGCAAAGAGGTAAAGTATTGAGATTTGCATTTCAAGGATCTCTGGCTATCCAGTGGAGAACGAGTCCTTCTGAAAGGATGAATAGTAGAGCAGGGACCAGCAGAAAATATGTGTACAGGATGACTAGATGCATGCTGGCATCCACCTCCTGCTGGCTTCCTAAGGTTTGACTGTTGGCTTACTTGTCATCATATCCTCTTCCTCCAACTGGTTGATTCCAAAGAGGTGCAGGCCACTTGCAGGGATGTTGTTCTTCAGGGACTCAGTTAGCAATTTATCAAGGGTCTCTGTGTTGTAAGGCACAATTTTAAAGGCCTGAATAAAAAAAACAAAGATGGTCAGAAGTGAAATCCAGGTATCTCCCATCCATCCTATTAGAGGCTGATGGACCACGAGCAGAAACAACATGCCCAGAAATATTCAGGTTTCCTTTCAACATCCTTACCTGACACATGAACTCCACAGGGTTGGCAGCATTGGACAATAAATTTCCAATTTCTTCCATGTCAGTATAATAGCTGATGGTAGTTTCACATACCACTAAGTCCCTGGAATAGACTTTCAGAAAAACTTTCCCAGAGGAAAGGTCTGGACAGAAGAAAAGATAACATAAAATGAGTGTCCAGTGGGCCATGGGTCAGAAAGCTACTGAAACAATATATGAGACAAACTGTAAGCATCTAAACCAGAAAAGCAGGGGAGGGAAGAGAGGTATAAAGAGTTATCTGTGAGATGAGGTCACCTGGACGTGGTAATCGACTGGACATGTGGAGTGCTAAGGGAGAGGGAAGATGCTGGGGTGACTGATGCAAACATGGTGGTATCAAGAGACTTCAAAACACAGTTCGGATCAGGTCATCCCACCCCTTAACACCATTCTCTGCTGTGTTTTCCTTAGTGTGGGGTATAGACCACTGCTGGCCTATGAGGGGTTGTGGGTGGTACAAGGAAGAGCATGTTTCTTTGAATAGTCATTATTCATTTTTGCTTATTAAAACAAATGCAAATAGCCTATGGTTTCATAAATATTTTGATTAGGACAAAATTTAAAAAGTTTAAAGCTAGTCAAGTTAAATAAAAAATATCAAACAAATGATAATACATGACATACTTGACTAAGAAAATAATAATGGTGTAAAAAAAGAATTAAAGCTTGAGAAACATGGCTTAAGGGGGAAAAAATGAGGTGCCCAGGAAGAACGAGGGTTTAAGAAAAAGTGTTTGTGGCTATACACGCTCCATTTTAATGGTGAAGAAATTAATCGGGGGCTGGAAGGAAGATCTTGTGGGCGGAACTGGGGGGATGGAGGAGTGAGGTAAGAGTGGAGGAGGAAGAGAAGTAAACCAGTACATAGGACTACTCTCAGTTCCCCGGGTCTGTAATTCAGGTTTTTGTTTTTTCCACTCTCCAATTTTATTTTATTTTACTTTATAATTTTTTTTCTTTTTTATTGTGCTTTAGGTGCAACTTTACAGAGCTGAGTTTGTTTTACATTCAACAGTTTTGAAGGGCTTCTATCTATTTTGTTCACTCCTGTAGACCCACTGCCTCAAAAAAAACATGGAGGAAAATCCAGTGGCTCGACAGATCCTGGGAGGTAGAACTTACATTTCTGCCTTATTGGGCCAGTGAAATCGAGTCACTTGCTCTGCTGCTGTCACTACTATGTGCTTAGCCCGGGGCAGGATTCTACACCACAGGAAGGGGTTTGAGGGGAAAAGAAAAAATTAAAAATACACCAACCACAAAGATTTGAATCACAAAAGAGGAAATGTGACGAGTAGAGAACATGGAAAAATACTCAACTTCACTAGTAATCAAAGAAATGCAAATGAAAACAAGGAACTACTTTATGAAAGCCTATGAATTGAGCAAAAACATTTAAAATAATAATGCCCAATATTGGAGGTGGGAGAGTGAATTTGCTTGATAACAGTACTGTTTCACAAAGCGAGTAAGTTCTATTTTCCAAGAGCCTTAAAAATGATCACTGTTCCAGGGGTTCCATACCCTGGATTGAGGAAATAATCCTAAATCCAAAGGTGGGGGGGGAGGAGGAAAGAAAACTTCATGCACAGAGATGATCATTGCATCACAATTAAAAACAAAAAAGAGCATCAGAAATTACGTAAATATACAATTAAAACATGACACTTCTATTCAACTGAGGCTTTAAAAAGAATGGGGATAAAATGCAGGCCCAACACAAGGGAGTGGTTAGGTAAATTATGGTCTACCCATACAATGGATTACCTTGCAACCATCAAGCCTCACTTTGTAAAAGAGTATTTATGATGATGTGAGAAAATACAGTGTACTACTGAGTAACAAAAATGGGCACAAAGAAAGTATGAAGCTGTGTATACAGATATGGAAACATACAGAAACCAGTTATTTCCTTTGGGGGTGTATATTGAGCAATTTTCTATTTATTTCCCTTTATAGCTACTGTATTATTCAAGTTTTCTGCATCAAGTATGTAATAAAAAAAAGTTATGAAATGGGAAGTTATAAGTCCATGTAATAGCATGGGGGTAAGGAAGTACAGAGGGAATAAATATTATATAAGATTATATAAAGAAAAACAATGCAAAGGAATAGATACTATCAGAAGAAGGAGAAAAACATGGAGCGGTCAGGTATCAGGTGACCTTTCTCCCTTACTCTTCTCTGACTTCAAAAGCATTTTAATATATGAACTTTATAATGGTAAAAATGTTAATATGTCAAGTTCTTGTTCATCATACATATCCATTTCTGCAATTTCCTTTTCATTAAAACAGAACATTTCATTTAAACAGAACAGAACAACCAAGCCCAAATCTTTTCTCAGCTGCTGGATAAAGACAAAAAAGGAAAAAGAAAGCAAAGGTAAGCCTCTTAAACGAAGCCTGACGTGCAGAGGTTAAGGGGGCTACTTACTGGGCGCCTTGACCGAAACGGTGTACTCATTTTCTAGCTTGGCTTCCACCCGAATTGAAGGAGAATCCTCAGGGGAAAATTCTGCTTCTGTTGTCACTCTCTCATCCAACTTACATTTCACGATAATGTAGACCGTGGTTTCTGCCTGGAATGGGAGACCAGTCATTGTCCCCCCACCCTCGTGGGTTCCCTGTCAGGGTGCTGGGCCTGAGGCTCTAGACTTATGTGTGTACCCCAGAGCAGGGTGGGGTCTGCAGTCCAGGGCTGGGCGGAGAACTGCTTGCCACTGATCCCAATGAGAGTTTACAAACCTTGAGAATAAACATTCATAAATTTTACAGGAATTGTATGTAGTCATTTTATATCTGCTGAATGTAATAATAACAAGAAAAAACTAGGGCTTATCCTTTGTATGTCTTTTTATTAAATTTTATAGCAATTGGTGTTTTTTTTTTTATTATTATTTCATGAAAGCATTGGTCCATGGGAACATCAGATATTAAAAAAAAAGGTCTTCATCACAAATAAAATACTATTCTAGACTAGCCTTGCTCCTTAAAGTTTGGCCAAGGGACCAGCAGCATTGGCATCCCCTGGGAACTTGTTAGAAATGCAGAATCTCGGACCCCACCCCAGACCTGCTGAGCCAGAGTCTACATGTTAACAAGATTTCCAGGTAACTTTAAAAAAAAAAAAAAAAAAAAAAAATTTATTATGCTTTGGGTGAAAGCTCGATGCAAAGCAAATTAGTATCCCATTCATCAATTTATACACATTTTGTTTCGTGACATCACATAAATCCCTTCAATGTACAGCACTCTTCCCACTTCCTCCCAAGGCTACCTGTTTCTATTCTCCTTCTTTCTTACCCCTTCCTACTTCCTGAGCTTTGTTTTTGGGCAAATGCTGCCCTTTTGGTCTCCAATAGTTGACCCTAGGAGTACATTCCTCCTCAAGTGATTCTGATGTATCTAAAAGTGTGAGGGGAGGTAGAGAGAAAGCCTCTTGGGTCTAGCTCCTACATGCTGCTCCTGGCTAGGCAAAAATTATTGATTGGGGAATTCATTTTCCCTACCTGCATTTTGAAGACCTAAGAACCAAGGTATCAAGCAACTTGACTGCTTTCCCTTGCTTTAGGATCTCTTGCTGAGCCCGCCATATGGAATTACCTTGTTTTATTGTGCTGATTATGTTCCTAAGTAGTCTTCTCAATGGGAACTGGTAAGGACTGGTCCTCCAAAAAACAGGAAAAAGGAGAGATTTCTTGCTCTAGCTAAACTCCAGATGTTCATCCCACGATTCAGGTCTAAAGTCCACAGAGTAGCCCTTGATGACAAGCACCATGAGGAGAGTGTGGCAAGCTGAGATGTTACACCAGGTGAGAGAGGTGGTGTGATCCTGGCTGATGGTATAATCACTCCTGATATAGGCTCGGCCCCGTTCCCCTGCTCCTTCTTCCAGGAAGTATAGGGACCCAGAGAGAACAAGTGCCTCTCCTCTATTGACAGTCAGGACTCAACCCAAGCCTAGATTCCCCAGGACCCAGAGACCTTACAACAGGCAAGAGAATCCTAGGTTAATGGGCAGCTAGGACAGGAGGACAGGAGAAGGAGAGAAAGCCTAGAAAATAAGAGAGGCATGTGAAGGGACCCAGTGTTTGATCCCACACCCCTTTGGCCACAGACATCCAACAGCCTCATCTGGAGGCATAGGGAAATGGGGTAGGCAGGTAGCAGCAATGGCCAGTAAGGAAAATGAGTAAGGAACAGAGAACAAGGAAAAGGGAATTGCGGGGACCAGGGCTGCTCAGCCCCAATTTTAGGCCAGATTCTGATTTAAAGTAAGCTGGAAACACAGATCTATATGCCTCGTTTTTAAAACATGGTACAGATCAAGCCAGACATGTTTGTGTGTCAAACCCAGCCCAAAGCAATAGTTTGCAATCTGCAAGCTGGGAGTCCTTGCCCAATACCTCATAGCCTCAGGCTGCAGATAACCGCTCACAAGTGCAAGGAAACCAGTGCTTCCCATCCTCAGGGCTGCCACTCCCCTGACTCAAGGAGCCCATGGTGGCAAACTCAGTGAAGGACTTGTATCCATGAGAGAAGCATACTGCTGCTCTGAATTACTATAAATATCACACATTCCTCACCAGGAAAGGGAATATAATGCAAAAACTATAAACAGTACATGGGACTTAACTGACAGTGGTATATCAGCTGGCCCAACACATTTAAGTCATCTGTTAACATATGCCTCACCCTGAAGTTTCTACCCTTGCTATCTATATGCATTTATCTAAAACTTTAACAAGCAATATTGGCCAGCAAGTTTCAGCCATTAAGCTTCAAGGCACTCAGTCATGGCCAGACAGGTGGCGAGCTGATGGGGAAGCAATCTCAGGGTGCCCAGCATCCCCCTCCTCACAGAGCTAGGGAAGTAAGAAAGGCTAGCAGGAACTCAGCAGGAAAGGCTAGTAGGGACAGACTGACGCCTCCAACTCCAGGTGTCTCAAACTCTGTTGTTGTTGTTGTTGTTGTTTGCCATCGAGTCGGCCCCGACTCATACTCTAAGTGTCTGGTAATGCTTATGTCTGTTGCTCTCCCAGATGTTCTATTTTTTGATCCATGAAATAGAAGTTTTAGATTAATGATATAAACTTTCCTGGGCTCATCCCTCTTTGACTTAACAAAACCAAACCCACAGCCAAATCGATTCCAACTCAGAGTGACCCTATCAGACAGAGTAGAACTGCCCCATAAGGTTTCCAAGGCTGTAAATCTTTGCGCAAGCAGACTGCCTCATCCTTCTCCTAGAGAGCGGCTGGTAGGCTCATACTGGCCTTTTGGTTAATAGCCAAATGCCTTAACCACAATATTTCCAGACCTCCTTCTTTGACTTAAAGCAGCTACATAGGTCCAAAATCCAGGTATTGGGGCTCCCAGGATAAGAAATGTATAGGGGAAACCCCAAGGGAAGGCTGGGATTATGCTGAGGTATAACCTGAGAACCCACTCCTCTTATTGCAATAAATGCATCATTAAAAAGCCCACATTCTGATGGTTATTTGCCCAAAACAAAAAATGCCTAACTCACTGCCATCAAGTCAGTTCTGACTTACAGCAACCCCCATTGGTTTTCCAAGGCTGTAAATCTTTATAGAAGCAGATTGCCCCATCTTTCTTCTGTGGAGCAGCTGGTGCGTTTGAACCACCAATCCCCTGGTTAGCAGCCAAATGTTGTGACCACTACACTACCAGAGCTCCTTGATTATTTACCGGGACCCTAGAATGCCTACCCCACAGCGGATGCGGTCTGGCTGCACCACCATCAGGTTCCCAGGCGAATTCTCCAGCGGCAAGTTCTGCTGCTTCGAGCAGGGAAGGACCTTCTCGTCCTCAGCCTCGGTGTCAGTGACTGAGTCACACCCAGAATCTACGGAACAGAGGACAGCACTGAATGGGAACAGAAGGAAGGAGAACTAGTGGGCATGTTATACCCCATGAAACCCCCAAACGTTACCCAATAGGAAACGGCTTTGAATGTCAAATACAAGTTGAAGAGAGTGACTCAGGAAATCATGAAAGAGGACCTGATGGGAAAAAGTCAACCACTACGTAGGCCACAAGGGTAGGGTGACAGCAAGTTTATGACTGGTGGAGAAGAAGACCAAGAAACCTGAGGCAGGCTGCTGTCTGAGGCTAGCAAATCTCGTTTCAACCAACAGGCTTCTAGAAGCTTTACCTCCAGTTTTCTCTCAGGGCTGGCTTTTGTGGTTGCAAGGAAAAGAGGCCTTTTCTCCACAGGTGGGATCACAAACAGACTGTATATTTAAAGGTTATCCTCTGAACATCAAGTTAAAACTGTGCTGTCCAGGAAGCCATTGGGCCCTGGGGTCATGGCAAGCCAAAGCACTCCCTCTGGAAGCAACAGTGAAAAGCAATCATTTTCAACAAACTTAAGATCAGTCTAACCAGGTTCCACATCACTACACAGCCAACACCTCTACTGTGGCAAGATTAGAGCATACCCAGACTCAGAGCAGGTGAGCAGGGGTATGGCTCAGAATGAGATGATGCTGAGGCAGTATAACTGACACTCACCAGAGGTCTAAGGCAGGGGCTCTTAACCAGGGACCCGTGATTGACAGGCCTACCTCTGAGGCTATGTGCAAGACTGCATGTGTGTGGGTACGTGTGTGCGTGCGCACCTGTGTGCAGACAGTTGCACATCCACACCTATACTTTTCTGGAGAGGTAGTCCAAAACTTTCATCAGATCCCCAAAGAAAGAGAGGACCCCAAAATGGTTATGACGGGTAAGAGGGAAGGGAGCACCATCCAGGCCTATTTTGGGGTCTTGTTTACTCCTAAATCATTTACAGACAACCAGCTGAATTTGTCAGGCATTGAGGAGACATGAGGATGGATCAAGCACTAATCCTGCCCTCAGAGAGCCCATGATCTGAAAGGGCAGGTGGGTGAGAGGTAAGCTTAGCTTGACTGACTCCTGCAGGCTGGCCTCGGGAGGAGGAGCTGGCCTCCTGCAGAGCTAGTGGCAATCAGTACTGCAGTTCAGAATGCTGAGGTGGCAGATTAAGCCCCCTCGAAAGCTGTAGCCACAAACTCGCACCTAGACCCCAGGTCATGCCAGGGGAAAAGTTGTGTTCCCATAACCATGAATGCTGAGGTAGGGAACAGGGCTGGGGGCCAAAGTACCACCAGGTCCTGCTGCTGTAACTGTGAGGCATGGACCCCAGTATCTTGCTCAGGCCAGGGGAGCAGCTGGTGCTTCCCAGTCATGTAGCTTAAAGCCCTACAGCCTCAGGCTGGGGTCCTATCCCACAGCCTGACAGCGGACTCACAGATGATGTCTACAGAGCGTGATGGGCAGTGGGGCAGAGCACACACTCCTGACGCCCCTGTGCTCTCAACGATTTCTCCCAAGGCACGTTATTCCAGGAGGCCTGGAGGAGTGCTGCCAGGCAGGCTGCCTGACCTTGTTTGCATGACAGAGACCCAGCAGAATCTAGTGCTAAGAGATGGGGCAAAGGACTCTGGGAGTTCCAAGGACAGTGATAGATTACAGAAAAAATATAATTGACTAGATCAATAACCATAAAAATAAAATCTCACTTTTCAAACACAATCTAGAGTATAAGCCGTAAACCCCTCTTTGCAGTGAACTTAATTGGAATGATGTGCTTCTTGATAATATTTACTTTTATTGTCTAGGAAAACTCCATTTGTATAGGTATTATGTCTAGTAAAGTTTTCAAAAATAATGAAAGGCAGTCCTATTTTACATTACAGTTATAAAAAATTAAACAGAATGGACAAAGAGAACAAGTGGATATAATAGTCCAAAAATAAAGTTTCATTCCCATAAAAACTTGATATATGAGAAAGCATTAAAAATCAGTACAAAGTAAAGGGTGGTTGGTGAGAATGATGACTCAACAGGAAGCCGTGGAAAATGCCCGCTGTTAGGGTGGGCAGGTGGGGAGCAGGGGAGTATTTAGGTTCTTCCTAATTCTCATACCTGCCAAAATAAAATTTAGATGGAGCACTGGTGGCATAGTGCCTAAGGCATTGGACTGCTAACCAGAAGGCTGGCGGTTCAAACCCACTAGCCACTCCTCGGAAGGAAGGTTGGGCAATCTACTTCCGTAGTGATACTCCCTCGGAAACCCAAGGAGGGGTCAGCTATGAGTCAGATCTGACTCGACAGCAGTGAGCTTGGTTTCTGGCTTACAGATTAAAACATAAAATAAAAACAAAATTTTAAACTTAAAAACATGAAAATATGAGTGGACATTTTCATTGGTGTGGGAAAAAGATTTGTTCATTTTAAACAACTCAAGAAAGTATAATGGACTCAATGACATGAATTAAAAACCTGTGTAAACAACAAACTAAAAACAAAATCCAAATGGTTATAGTAGAATTATTCATAAAAGCCAAAAGAAGGAAACAACCAAAATGTCCATCAACTGAAGAATAAACCTACTGCCATAGAGTGGATTCTGACTCATAGCAACCCTATTGGACACAATAGAACTGCTCCACATGGTTTCTATCCATCATCTGATGAATAGATAAAATAAATGTGCTATGTTCATACAGTGGAATCATATTTAGCAAATAAAAAGGAATGAAGTGTGCATACATGCTACAATGTACATGAACATTGAAAACATATGCTAAGATACCAAAGATAACATATTGTATGATTTCACTTATATGCAATGGCTAAAATAGGCAAATCTATGTAGACTCATAGGACATTAGTACTTCTACTGAGGGTGGGGTGAGGGAATGAGTAAATGGAGCAATGGCTAAGGGTGATGGGATTTCTTTTTTTTTTTTTAATTGTGATTTGAGTGAAAGTTTACAGAGCAAATTCACTTTCCATACAGCAGTTCACATATCCTTTGTCTCATGACATTGACTATAATTTCCCACAATGCAACAGTTCCCCTCCCACTTCCTCCCCATAGTTACCTCTTCCCTGTGTCCTTCCCTCCATGCACTCCTGCCCCCTGAGCTGTTTCCCTGTGCATACACAGCCCTTATACTCTAAAGGTGATGGGATTTCTTTTTGAGGTGATGAAAATATTCAGAACTTGACTGTGATGATGGCTGCACAGATTTGTGAAGATACCAAAGGTCTTTGAATTGTATGTCTGACCTGGGTGCATTGTATGGCATGTGAATGGCATCTCAAGAAGCTGTTACCAAATGTAACCAATGGTAAATCATAAATTGGTTAAAAATCTGAAATAAATATGACAAAGAATTAATCTCCTTAACATATGGACAGATCATAGGGACCTTTAAGAAAGCACCCAAGACCTGATAGGACATTGCACAAAAGAACTAATACAGATCACGCCCCCTTCAAAATTAAGGTATCATTCATCCTCGTTGGTCATCACAGAAAAGCAGGAAGCATGCTGCTCCCTTTTGTCAAATTAGGTAAAGTATACTCAGTGTGCTGTTTGAAGATGAGGTAGGACAGACGCTTTCATTCAATGCTCAAGAAAGTATAAACTGGTCAAACTTTTCTAGCAAGCCACAAGGCCATATACAGAGAACGAGAAAGACTTTAAAATGTTTATACCTTTGCCATAGGCTTCTACTTTCAGAAATCTCTCTGAAGGCAGAAAAGAAATGTTTGAAACGTAGACGAAGATAATTAACCCAGATGTGTGCTGAATCATTATTTGTATCAGTGGAAACCTGAAAACCATCTAAATGTCTAAGGAAAAAATGTCAAAAATGTTTTTTTCAAAGGGTTTTAAGCGACAAGAGTGAAAGTTTTAGGTTAAGCAAAAAAGCAGAACACAAAATTATCTTCTATTGTGCCTCACAATGTATGATCTCAATTAAATAAAGATTTCTCTCCTCTAAATACATCTCTCCTTTCCTTTCTTCCCTCCTTTGCTCTTTCTCTTTCTCCCTCCCTGCCTCCTTCCTCCCTTCTTCCTCTTACTCTTTCATGTATTTTCATATTTTTCATGGTGAGAAAGCATTACTTGGATAATGTGAGTGGGGATGAAGAGGAAAATAGCAACATAATCTACCAGCTAATCATTTTGCCAGCGAGCGCAGCTTGATATAAATGAGACTGATCCTAACAGTGCCAGTCCCCTGCATTCTGGTGGGGTATACAAACCACACCTTCTAGCAAGTCCAACCCTTTAGACACCTCTGATAGTTACCAGCAGCTAACTCATTTCAGGAAGTCAGGATGGCATTCATTCTGCAGGGTAATTCCGCTAGTGCCGACTGAGGTGAACACCACGTACAATTCCACAAGCCATAATAGCCTTTCTCACAGTCAACCACTGAGAATGCAGGGAGCTTAAGTGGGCCAGGGTCCAACCACTTCAGCAGATTCAAGGTTGCCTTTGAAGGAAATGCCAACCCAGACCTAAGTTTGCTGAAACCAACCTGACAGAGTGGGATGGGTGGCCCTCAAACTTTCCCACTTGAACATGTAGATCCCTTCACAACCCCTATCCCAACACCAAAACTAACCCTAAATATAAAACCTCCTTTGCTGCTCTGAGACGCAAATAATAAATGTTGGAGTGAAAGCACTCTGAAAATCCTAAGGAACCTGTCTAAAGTGTTATTAAGATTCGATAGTATTCTTAGTGCTTTAAAATTTAACAATATCCTCCCAGTTTTTATAAGGTCTAGAAAACTTCTGGAAAAATTATAGACAAATCCGTCCTTTGTGCAGCGAATTCCCCAAAGTCTTATCTATAAAGGACTCATGTGCAAATTATTCTTTAAAATCAGTGGCAGAGAAAGTTTCTCTCCTTAGAACACTTGCTTGCTATCTCTTACTAGAACACTTGCTTGCTATCTCTTACTAGGCTATAACTCAGTGCCGTCAAGTCGGATCCGACTCATAGCGACCCCTCCT